AGTGATTTTAGACGCTTAGATAAAATTGGGAGTCCAGCAGCCTAGCAATATTTGACTCCCTCTAAAGTATGAACTGTAAAAAGGAAAAGACCCCCAGAGCTACAGGAATGACGCCTCCTTCCCAGGGTCCTCCAGCTCAACAAGAGCAGAGCCTAGAGAATTAAGAAACACCCTCTCAAATGAGTTATTTTTACATGCATCCTCATTTGTGTAGCTTTATGGAACATCATTTATGTATCAGCATTTCTTAAAATGAACAAGGTTGTGTCCTGGCTGGTGTGACTCAATGGATTGAGCATCAGCCTGTGAACCAAAGGGTTGCTGGTTCGATTCCATGTAAGGGCACATGCCTGGTTTGCAGGCCAGGTCCCCAGTGGGGGGCATGCAAGACGCAACCACACATTAATGTTTCTCTCCCTCTCTTTCTCCCTCCCTTCTCCTCTCTCTAAAAATAAATAAATAAAATCTTTAAAAAATAATGAACAGAGTTGCATTGAGACTAATGGAAAATCTCTTCCCTTTAATGGTCCACTCCTATCATGCCCATTCGTAGTTTGAAGGTTTTGTAAAATGGGAGGGGTGGGGGAAGAGTTGAAGATGGGAGCTAGACGAGGGAGATTGGAAATAAACTGAGGACTATGAAGCACATTTACATCATCAACACTTAAGTGTTCTATGCAAATGAAAAGTCCATCCTGACTGTAAATATAACTTTTAAGAAATAGTTTTGTGACAAAGGAGGAAAGTTGACAGCTTATTCAGTACCAGGGGGAAAGTGAAGTTCAGAATAAGAAAAAGCCAAGAGTGAAGAACAAAAGCTACTATAGGCTTCTGGACTTCTCAACATGGATGAGCCTTTTTAACATATCATCCCAAGTAATTATGTAAACTTGCTATTCTAAATTACAAGAGAATGCTTCCAGCTCACTTAAGCCAAAGATACTTAAAAGAAGGTCCCAATCTTTCAACTGGCCTGTTCCAAGAATTCTAATTGGCAGATGTCCATACTATTTTCTACACTTCAGCTTCTCCCCCAAATGGAAACTTACTCAAAATAAATTTTAGAAATGATGATAGAGTGAACTCAACATTTCACAATTTAAGTATCAGGAAGCTAGGCAGCTGTAAGTCGATATTTCTGGAAAAAAAAGAAAAAAAACCCAAACCAACTTCCTTTTCCATGCCTTTGTCTTCATTACCAAGCTTAAAAGATGGAGGCAATGTCTGTCCATCGTAGGAACATGGGCTTAGGACAGCACCATGCTTAGTAAGTGGGATGCATGTTTTAATGTGCATCTTGTGGGCCCCATTCCTTTATAGTTTCACCCTGGATGATACTTTCGCTGATACCACATAAGGAGGCTCATTCAGCAGAAACTGGAGGGAATTCCTTTGCAAAGTACTTCTGTACTAACCAATAAGCACCTGCTATAGTCCCCAAGGCAGCCACTGGAGCTGACCTGACAGCAGCCAGAAGCTGTGCCACGGTGGCAGTTATAACAGACCCTCCCTCCCCAAGCAGAAAGCAATGCAGCGAGGCATAAAAGCTCCTCTCCCCACTCCAGCTTAAGAACCCTAGCTGGAGCATCTGCTCATTTGTCCTGAGCAGTTAGTCACTTAGTTCAGAAATTCACCAAGTGGTGGAAGAAAATTACTTGTGATACTCTGTTTTAAAAATGTGTATTAAATGATAAATTAATGTATTTGTTTTTAAGTAATTGAGTATGTACTATAGATCCAAAGGCAGAAAATGGAGAGAAGCTCTAAAGTTGGAGCCAGAAAATATGTCTACTCCGCCCAATGGTGCCACTTAACCAGGTCTGTGACCTTCAACATGCCACCAAACTTCTTTTTTTTATATCTTCTCTGCCCACCCTGGGGGACCATGAGAGGTTCATATGAAATCAGAGTTCAGGAAGGCTTCAGAGCCCTGGGTAAGAAAAAGGTGTTGGCACTATCGTTGCCAAGAAGTGCCCATGAGAGGTTTGAAACATCATTGATCAATGTTCCTACTAATGATTGTGGCGACCTTCCAATATTAATACTCTCCATATCTGAGGATATCAGCAATGAGAGTGAGCTGTAACAATGTTCCATGCTCTGGATGTGTGTACATTGTATTCTTATTTATACAGATTTAAAATTAGTATTTTTATTTTTGGATAATACGGTTTAACACTATTAAATGAAAATTCCATGTATTCAGTTGAACCAACTGGCATCTCAGACGTTTTGGTGACTTATTTCTGAATACAAATATAATGGAACTAAAAGCTTTTGAAATGATTTTTAAAATGATTTTGAAAATCACTAATTTGCAAAAGTGCTGCACTACTTTTGCGCTAAAAGAATGCCATGGGAAGGGGCAAGGGGTGACCGATATCATAAATTCTCCGCATACCTTTGCAACACCATGACTCTGTAAGACAAAGTGGGTCTTTTTGAGTTGAACTGTTGTAGGCTACATCTGACCCTGCAAATCAAGCCCCCTTCTCCAGGTAATACAGCAGAATCACCAGTCCTGAGTGGAGCTTCCCACTTAACTAGCTCTGGTATAACCTGATAGTCCAAGAAGTCTCTCAAACTCCCATTTTAGAAACGAGGACAGAGGGCCACTAGGCTTCAAATGCCTTAGGAACCCCAGCCCTGTTCCTTTTGCCTTGCACAGGGCCATACTTACACTCCTTCTTCCACGTACTCTCAACTATGTGACAGGCTCCAGGGCTAGCGTTCCAGACAAGACAGATAAAGTTGTGGCCATAGAGCTTTCTTGTAGTCGTTAAGACTATACACATGGGGGCAAGTCATGCTATAACTCTGGTTACTGTCATAAAGGAAATGCAGGCTGAATTAACGGCTCAAATAACTTATCCCAAATCACAGCTCTGGTAAATGGTAGCAGAGACCCAAACGCAGGTTTCCTGACTCGCTGTTTCCCCTTACATTGCGCTCTCCACACTTCACTCAGGAAGAGGGTTGCCCCACTGCATCCAAAGAGGCCCAGCCACCAGGAGCCTCTTGTGATGGAATTTCTTCAAGACTTCCTTATCTCCAAATGAAAACTAGTACTGCCTGAATCCTACCCTTTTCCAGCAAGCTTACCTTATTCAGAAAGGGCTTTGGGTGCCTAGGAAGCGCCTGTACAGTTAGTGCCTACACCCTTCCGCGCTACTTGAGGTGTTTCCAGTCAGTACAGAGAGAACACCCTTGACCACCTGGCCTGCTGGCTGGGGGCAGCCAACAAATCAAGGGCAAGAGAAAAACATACCAAAAACAAAATATGTAGAATCTGACAAATAAGTAGTCTCTAACAAGATTTTAAAATTAAGATATAATACTAAAGAGAAGAGTGTACTTTAAAATTATTGATATTCATAAGTACCTTACATATACTAAATCATGTCCTTCACAGCTCTTGTAGTTTGTAAAAACAATATTTATATTGCCACTACATAGAAACTTATAAATCGCCAAAGAACTTTTCATGGAAAATTTAAGACTTTTCTTTCACCAAAATATAATAGCTATTTTCCAGTCAGGAAAAAACCCTACCGTCTCCACTGCATCCTATTTGTAACAATCTCTGGTTCTCTTTAAATTTAAAAAATTTAATTATCACTGTTCAATTACCTTGAAGAAGTGGGTAAATTAATCTCAAAAAAGCCAAAGGTAAGTCAAACATCCTTATTGGCTAGTTCTTAGGGTGAGCCAGCCTCTTGAGTCCCCCCTTTGCAACACCAAACCTACGGTACATTAAGATTTACTAGTAAAGCCAAGTGGTTCAAATGAACAGGTTCGAAATCATCAAGTTGAACCAGCGAGATTTGTTTTTTTTATAGTCAAAATTATTTCCAATAAATTAGCGTCATTCATGAAATGCCTAGTACGTGTTTGGGGCTTTACGTGCAACAAATTGCTCAGGAGATAGATAAGTTCTTCCAAAGATAACGAAACTCAAACAGGGAATTTCAGTCATAGGCCTAAGTTCACACTCAGCTAAGGAACTTGCAAAACTCGCATCCAGTTCGGGTTTCTGAGTTGGTAAAAAATTTGGGTGGGGTTTGGGGTAAGACAACACACACTTGGAGACACCAAGGTACCACTGCAGGGCCACGCCGGCTATTAGAAGGCACATTACAAATGCACAGCACCCAGAAACCGACACAGTCGGTCTAGATAACGCAGGAAAGTGGGAACTGAAGCTTACACCCTTCCCCCATGGCGAAGGAAAGACAACCCCTGAATTCTTAAAATAACTCTTCGCTTCCTCTCGGAGGCGGAGGCACCGGACTGTTGCTCCGCGGGCCAACAGGCGCCTGGCTCAGCAGGAGGGTGCACAGCAGCCTCCGCCGTAGCCCCTCGACGTCACGCTCCTGCGGGGCTCCCCAAGAGGACAGCTGTCCGCCGGCCAGGAGAGGGCCTGAGCTGAGCCCCACTCCACGCCTCACGAGACCCAGGGCCCAGCGGGGAGCCCAGATTGTGCAACCTGAGGAGCCCCCGCCAGGGTGCCGGCCAGGATCCCCGCCGCGCGCCAGCTCCGCGTGGAGAACGGCTTCCCCGCTGCGCTCCTAGGGCGACCCAAGCCGGGACGGCATCCGGCTCTCGGGTTCTCGCCAGAGGGCCCGGCGGAGCGCCCGCCCCAGCCCCCCGACCCCGCCCCTCCCACCACGCCCCTGCGCGGCTCCCGGGACCTGACACCTGCGGAGCTGCGCGCCCCAGCCTCCTCACCCCCACCCCCCACTCTGAGCCCGGTCACCCACGGGCTGAAGGCACCTGGGTGCTCTCACCGGCGGGCTGGGCGCCAGGGCAGCCAGGAAGCGACTCGCGAGCCTCGCTCTCGCGGTCGGAGCCGGCCCCCGGCCCCCGGCCCGCTGCCCAGAGCAGACTTCACGTCCAGGGCCGACCCCGCTCCCCGACTCCCGCCAGTGGCACAGCTGCGGCTCCCGACCGCTCCAACCTGGCGCCCCCGCCCACCCCCTGGGCTCATGCCTGGGACTCACCAGGTCGCGGGGGAAGTTGCGGATCCGCGGGGGCGGTCGCGGCGGCGCTCCACTGTGACTTGAGTTCAGAGCGGGGGACGCGACGGGGCGGCCCACCGGGGCCCAACGAAGAGAGGTGCTGCGGACTGGGAACCGAGGACGCACGGCGAGGGGCTGCAGGCTCGGGGCGCGGGTGGCGCGGCCGCCCCGCTGGCCGCGCGGGCTGGAGGCTGCAGCGCGTCGGCCCGCAGGAGCCACGGCCGGGAGCGAGCGGTGGGCGGCCCAGCGCGGCTGGAGAGGAACTGGCTGTCGCTGGGCTTGGCCGAGAGGTCCCAGCTACTTCCTGGTGCTCGGATTTGCATACTGCGCCCGGGGGCGGGGAAGTGACCGTTTGGCCCCTGCCCAAGGTTTGGATCTTTGGCTTGGCTGTCGCACAGAGGAACCTGGTGTCCTGATGTACCACTTGGGAGGGTGGAGACCCCTGGGGCCCAACATTCTTCACTATACACGACAGAAGGATCTTGCAGAGAGACCCTCTGGAGTCTTGTCATCGGCGAAACCTCTTCAGTCTCATTTCCTTCTCTTCCAAACAACTCCCCAAGGTGTTAGGAAGTGGGGTGCCCCTGGAAGCAAAGGGGGCGCACTCTGATCCCCCAACATTTAGAGTTCTGTAGAGGGAGGATGAGATGTTGCCTAGCTGAAGCCCAGAGTCTCACTGGGTTATCAAGCAATATAGAATAAGACCCTTAAGAGTGTACACGGGGATGTGCAGGGTGCCAATGAAGGGGGAAAAGGCTGTGGAGTTAAATGGCCTGGCAGTTACTCAGTTCCTCAAAACGTCGATTTCCTCCCAAGAAAATGGAGATAAAAGTGCCTACCTTGCAGAGTTACTAGGAGGATGAAATGCCTTCTGTAAAGGGCTTGCACTATGCCTAACACACAGCAACAGTCGCTGTTATTGTTTCATTGCTACTACCTTTGTATCTCACATGTAAACATTGTGTTTGGCACATGGCAGGTGTGCCAAAGAATGACTATCTCTCCAAACTCATGTTCCAAGTCAGCAAATGCCACTTACCAATCCAAAATGTAATATTAGTCTCAATCACCATGGGTGTCCCCTTGTAAGCAAGATTCCACCCACTGGGATCCCAGCATTGCACTGCACTGTAGAACTTATAGGTAAATAAACAGCACCCTGAGGAAAAACTTAGTCTTTGTGTTTATAATAGCAAACACTGAAATGGGGACTATTGGGTACCAGACTCAGGGCTAAGCATTTCGGACCGATTGAGTACCTTTTATTAAGAAAGTCCTTAAGAGGCTGGCTCCACCTAAAAAGCCACAGTCCAGCAGCCAGGCCAGCCACCTTGTAACACAATCCACACATCAGCCATTTGTTACTGGTAAGAGGGTAGGAAGCTCTACAAACTACTGCCTTAAATAGGGGGTGGAGGGAAGCAGGGTGGTTAACACCTACGATGTTCACTGGATGTAGTAGTTTCCTGCTGAAAAGGAGGTATTGGGTTGCCTGTTAGAAGGTGTTCAATGTATGAGTGAAATCTGTTACATGGACAGATGTATGGAGTAATTCACAGCCTGAGGGCCTATTTCCTGAACTTTTCTTCACAGTGACCTCTCGAATATATTGGCTCTAAATTAAAATATCTGTTGTTACCAATGACTCCTTGAGATGTGGCAGTAAATGTTTGGTGTTGATTAATCCATCTGGAATATCCTGTGTTTTGTCTTTTGGTGAAATGTCTGTTGGAATAAGAAACAAAAGTATCATCAGGCAGAACTGGGCTTGCACCCAGCTCTATCACTTCTAACTCCTCACTCATAAGCATCCAAGTTCATCACTTTGTTCATCTAGACCACTTATAGTATGCAACATTCATTTTAAACTAGACTTAGATCCTTTTTAGCATCTTCTGCCTTTGTTTCACATGTTAACTTTCAACTCCTAGTAGACAGTAAACCCCTTTTGAGAAGGCATTGCTTGCTCTTTCCCATTGTACCTCTCCAAAATTCTGCTAGGTGCTTTAAAATACTTCATTAGTATTGATGGATTGGTTCATTGATTTATGGATTGAGTTGTCTCAACAGTGTTTTCTATAAAGAATTGAGCACAGAATGGAATGATTCTGCTCAGGTTGCAAATCAACGAAGATTCCTTTCCAGGGTAAGCAGGTTTTACAGAAGGTGGAGGACGTGACTGAAGGTGACAGAAAGAGCAAGGAACGGAAATGGCATCAACTGTTGTATAGTCCATTCGCACTTTTTTCAGATTATGTATTTGCAAATCCACTTACTCATTAAAATGTGTTTGTAACCCCAAAATCAATACATACACCACCTTTACAGTCATTCATGGACACGAGCACAGCAATGAAAATTTGAGTTTCTTCTCTCTCACATTCCCAGCTGAAGTCAAACAAAGCGATCCTCTGCCTTTTTGTGTTAGCTCCTGTGTAATATAAACACTAAACACGTGGTTTGTACTTTTTGTACTTTTTGTTGGTGATTTCACTTTTTCACTGCCACCAAGTGTAGTGCTGAAGAGTCGTCTCCAGCACAAGAAGACTGTGGTGTGTCTAATGGAAGAAACACGTGTGTTAGAGGAGCTTGGTTCATGCATGAGTTATACTGCTTGTGGCTGTGAGTTCAATGTTAGTGAGGCAGCAATATATATTAAATGGGGTGTCTTTAAACAGCTTCACACATAAAACAAGGTTATCTATAAATCAATTCATGAAAATATGGTGGCCAGAGGCTCACAGCAACCTAACCCTATATTCCTTCCTGGGACAGTGGTTCAGTACTAGGTAATACATTGTGGCAACTTTATAGAATGAAACTACTGCAAATAATGAGAATCGACTGTGCATTAGAACATACCGTCACCTGTTGGTAGGAAAAATGAAATGCCTGACCTCAAGGAAATTCTCCTTCATCACAGACCTTCATCACCATATGTCTGACCTTGGCCCTCGCAGACCAGATTGGTCACTCTCAGTGCACACTTTCACTGCCATCTTGCCATCTGATTTACAGCCCATCCCACTGCTACAGTGTGGACTGTCCCTTGTGCCCTTTCCATTATGCTGGAAGCTTCCATCCGGGGTTTCAGACACTTCAGCCCAACTCTTACAGATTGTCTGCACAAACCTTTTGGTTGGCATTGCAGGAAGGGGAAGAGTAGACACTAAGATTCTCCATCTGACTCTTACAGACCTGATTTCTGAGGCCCAAGTAGCAAATAATACAGAGCAGTGGCACTCAACCCTCTTGGCCCATGAGACTCCCCTGCTCAGGCCCTATCCAGATAATCAAATCAAAGTTGGGGGGGTGAGGGATAAGGGGAAACCTGATCATCAGAAGCTTTAAAGCTCCCTAGGTTACTCCAATGAGCAGCCAAGATTGGGAACCACTGTTAAAGAGCCCCACCCAATGTCCTGGCTGGTGTGGCTCAGTAGGTTGAGTGCTGGCTTAGGGACCAAAGGATCACTGGTTCGATTCCCAGTCAGGGCACATGCCTGGGTTGCAGGCCAGATCCCCAGTTGTGGGGCATGCAAGAGGCAATCACACATTGATATTTCTTTCCTTCACTTTCTCTATCCCTTCCCCTCTCTCTAAAAATAAATAAATAGTAAGAGCCCCAAGCATCCTGGGAGAATATGGGTTATGTCTGCCAAACGAATGTGTGTCTACTTACTACCACTTTTCTAAATAAAATATACTGGAAGGCCTCTTACCTGACACATTTGGGACTGATGATTCAAAAAAACTTGTTCAAAGTGGAGAAATGATAAAACTGATGTAAATGTGCCTTATACATTTTACTGGAACTTCAGCTAAAGTATATTCATTCACTACTGATTTCTTGTGCAGGCCAGAGTGTTTCCTCTGACCAGGTGTCTTCTGCTAGGTGTCCTGTGTCATCTTCCTTACCTTAATGATACCTGTGAAACCTCATCTCTGATTTCTAATTATACCTTGGTGGAAGCCGAGCGTGTGCCTGCAAAGCTATCTCACCCACAATGTCTTACCTCCTGCAGCTGCTTTACCAACACTTAATTCAGCTTTTATTTGCTTTTATGATTTACCTATGACTGTTTCCAAATATTTGGCTTGGTTTACCTAGAAGCATTTCCATTCATACTTTTAAGTTGCTATTAAACAAATTGCCCCTTTTTAGCAGCAGGCACAAATTGACATAAAAACCACTGGCTTTTGGAAAAGTGTATAAGTTTTGGAGAGAGGAGAGGGTTCCCTTTGCTGGAGAGATGGAGCACCGTTTCTCAGAGGGAAGCCGGGACTGGTTCATCCAGAGTTTGTTGGAAAGAGGTCGATTCCTGAGACTTTCTGTCACAACTACCATCCAGCAGCTGGGCGGGTTGTGTTATATTGAAGCCTGCAGTCAGTCCTCACACCAACCAGGTTTTATTTTCCGTTCTTGATAGATACTAAGAGGGTCCCCAAAGTGGTAGGTGACTCATTCAAATTCACTTTGCTGAGGTGGCAAGCACTAGATTGAAACCCCTCCTGTCTGACTGACATCAAAGCCCAAGCTTGTACCCCTAGTTTACAATGTGTTCTACAAAGCTGTGGCTTCTCAACCTGTCATAGCCCAGAAAAAGCACAGTGTGCCTGAGAGCAAACACAGCTAAAACTAGGCTGAGTCCCCCTCAATTCTTTTACATTATAAAGGAGCGACCAAGCTACCTGAACAAGAAATTGTTGAAACTAAGCCAAATAATAATATTAATAACACCAACAACATAATTAGGATTGGAATCTTATCAAATTTACAGCAACATTAATTTGTCATTCAGTGATACATAAGATTATGCTAGATGGTAATGAGATTAAAATGATAAAGTATGCATTTAAAAATGGTCTCATGTAGTCAGATCGGGGGTTTCTGGGGTCTACTGGAGCATGTCCAGAAATTAAGAGGGAGAATTGTTTGTGACTTCATTTCTGTTTTTCCTCTGAGGGAGAGGGTCCCAAAGCCAAATCCCCCTTCTCCCCTACCTTCTGATTGTCAGTGAGGATGCCCAGCCCCTTAAATCTAGCTGGCCTCAAGAAGCTTAATATCAGCCCTGTCCCCAGTTCTAACTCAGCAAGTGTCAAATCTACTTTCTAGCTGCTCTTATGGTATCTAGGATCTCATGTATTTAGCTTTCCATTTTGACATAATTTTAGACTTTAAAAAAAGTTCCAAAAATAACACAAAGATTCACCAGATATTCTTCAGTCAGATTCCCCAACTGTCAGCATTTAACCATATTTGTGTTCTATC